GTTCATTTTCTATTATCGATTAAAACGATAATAGTTAGATTTTTCGCAAATATACCGAAATAAATATACAATCTTTTAGGTATACAAATAGAATTACGTATCTTTCTTTTAAATATAATATATTCACGATTATTACCCGTTATTATTATATTTTTCGTTAACAAGAAAATCCAATTTGAGAAAAATTTAATTTCTATTTTCATCCCTTCCTTTACATAATTTCTATAAACGGTTTTCAAGAGAGAGAGAGAGAAAGAGAGAAATTTGCTTTGAACGTTCGGCCGCGAATGCCTCTCGTTTATCACTTGCCTACTCTACAACCTTGATTTCACGGTTCGAATTCGATATTTCACCGAAAGTAGACGATCGAGTTTCTTTTCCGAGGGGAATAAAAGGAGGCAGACGGAGAGGAAGCACGGAGAGGTTAGGTACCGCAAGAATCTTACTTAGCACAAAGAGAGACTCGATGGATTCCGCGATCGATTCAGTTGGTCGACAGCTGAACCGAACAAGGAGAGGGACCATGCTCCTCTCGGTTCATTCGATTACAACGGCTCGATTGTGATCGAGGTCAGGAGGTACCCGATGCACTTCTAGCTTAACCCGAGATAACTCCTCGGGTAAGGCTAGCCTTCTTCCTCCTTCTCTTGTTCCATCGATGATGCTCCTTGAACGGTTCACGGAGCATCTCGAGAATACGTGCTTCAGTTGAAGAACTTACGCGGTGCCGTGATGCAGACGCTGATTAATCAGCAACCTTTTTGTTTTTCTTCTCTTTCGAGGGAGAAGTAATCGACCGGGGGAGGGGTGAGGGGGGGTTTCGCAAATTATCAGGCAAATGCGAACGATCCAAGACTGGAACGTTCCGCAAAGATTGATGAATCGTACGAAGCTGTATACGTGGAATAATTGATGCGATTAAGGAGAGTTCGTTTCGCGTTTTGCTTTTCAAAGGGGGAGCGGCGACCGCTCTCGCGGTAATCTGATTCGCGTTTGTTACGCACGTTAACCGATGGAAACGAAAGGTGGAGGTAACATGAAGGTATTTTCTTGAACGTCGGATAATGGGTTGTTATCTTTGTTACGGGTGAATTGAAATTATTTCAGGATGTTTTCTTTAATGTGCTCGCTTTGATCGGGGAATGTATTCATAATTCATTCTGGTCATTGTGATGCACGATTTTTTTTTTTTTTCTTTTTTTTTTCTCTCTCTCTCTCTCAATATGTTAGTTAATCGAATAGCGAAGCGAAATAAGGTACGAAGTAAATAAGTATTTATTGCCGAGTATAGATCGGTTATTTGCCACATTAATGACGTAAGGAAAATTTATATTGGAAAGGATCTTTATTTTTATTGTTTTTTTTTCATTTTTTTAGTTCACCACATTGAAGCCTATCTATTTTTATTTTTCAATTAGATATTCGAATATTTATCCATCGAATGCACGATATACATTTTCATTATAGGATTGAGTATAATCTCACACTATTTTAAATCATGCAACATATGTTATTTCCTAGATACTATATATAATCTAAAATCGCTATTAAAACCAACGTAATATTAAAAACATACCTCCATAAATTCTTCTTTTTTTTTTCAAATATAAATTTCTCCAAATATTTTTCATACGCCACAACGATTCTCAACCCTCTTCAATAAACATATTCGCGAAACCGATTTTCCGATTTTTGTTTCTTTTTATATAAATACAAAATTTTTAAATATAAATTTCTTCCATAATATTTCTACATATATAATCCACATCAGCTATGATTCTCAGTCCGAATGCATGTGGTCATCATATTCATATTCGCGAAAACCGTCTTTCCAACACAAGCTGTGTCGCCGCTTCGATCGATTTTCACGAGTTCAACAGAGACCACTCGCCGGTTAACGTGATTCTGGTTGTAGGGGAGCGTATCCGACACGATCTACAGGTCGGTCGAAGGACGACGCTTGCGTAGGCAGGGCGGTGCGAATGTAGTTAACAGGACACCCTCACTCTTGGCCTCCACACGTGCACTCGGATGGGCGCCCACGTGCACTTGCACGCACACGTACACGTGTGGCGGTACTCGCAAGTTCATAGTTTCGGTTGTAGCGTGTAATCCTCGTGGACACCGCAAACATGTAATTAACACTTGCTCTCTCTCTACGAGCCGCTGCAGTCAGTCGAGATCGTGTTGACTGTGCGCCCGTGTAATCGTGTGCGCATGCAAACCGATGTAACGAATAAGACTCTCCGTTATATGGGGTGTCCTCGGAGGAAACGTAAATGTTTTCGCGCTTTAATCTCGCAACGATTCGTACAAAGGAACGAAGATTTTTCCAATTTTAGTTTTAATTTTAGTTTTTTAATCTTTCTCTCTCTCTTTCTTTTTTTTTTTTTGTTTAGTTTTTTTGTGACTTGTGATGATTTGAAGAAGAGATTGTCGAAGCAAAATTATACGAAGAAATGATAGTAGAAAGGTTTTATTGTTTATCAAAGATCATTAAGATATTTTAATTTTTGTTTTATATAGAAGTATGTGGAATATGTAATATTCCCGTTTTCTTCGATCTTTATACGTTATATTAATTGATAATAACTGTGTTTAACAATATCCTTTGTTAAAATCGACCAGTTAACAAAATTCTTTAACTAAATTCTAAAGTTGTGCCAATAAAATTACACGATCGTTTTACATTAATCTTCCGAACAAGTATCTATAGAGAACAAGTTTCATCGTGAATTTTATAATAACATTTAAAAAGAACGTACTATGCATACACTAAGATCGAAACTTAAAACCTATGATTTGCAGTATCCATCGATGCATGAAACAGGTACGAGCCATCTATCCAACTTGGATCGATCGACCGGCCAACTTTACATATTCCTCTCGTATAAAACACATTTCTCCTTTCATATTATTCGAAACATATCTTTCGGTATCCTCAATAACGTTCGAAATCACGTCCGCAGAGCCCGACACCCGTGTCAACCATATCTCTCGAGAATCCGTACCAAAACTTCCCCCCGTATATTTTTCCCCCTGTTTCAAATCGCCTCGAATAAAACCGTTGCTTAAAAACATCCACCCGATTAGTTTGTAACTGAACATGATACACGTTTCATTTCTCTGTGTTCTCAGTAGACTCTTAGGAGACACGCGGTATATAAATACGCGCGCAAAGGGATGGTGGCGTTTCGAATCGGTGGTCGGCCTTTCGAAACACGCTCGGAATTTCCCCGAGCGAAACCGAATCGTTTTCGAATCGCGATATTCCCCCGAGGCACGGCCGAGATCTATCCGCCGCGGTGGAATCTTGTTATCGCGTTGCATTAACGTTACAACGTTTGCGGGGGCCATCCGCGCGTGCGCGATTGCCGATGGCGTTTAGATGTCTCTCCGCTGTTTACCGCGGAGGCAACCGGTGCGCGCCATCACCTTCGCCTCTTCGCTACGCCTGTCTGATTCTCCCCCCTTTTCTTCGCGGGGCCGCGAATCGGCTAACGCATTACTTCCTGCATCCATTCCGCTCCTTCACGGTGAACAGCTGTGTGAAATTAATTATTCACCGCCGGCATTGACGCTTATTCACGTCGCGCGCACCGCTCGGCTTCCGTCGCCTTCTTCCCTTCTCATTTTTATTATCCCTATTATTCTTCTCTTTTCTTTTTTCCGTTCTTTTTCTCTTTGGCTTGGGTTCTTTCTTTTTTTTTTTTTGTTTTTTTTTTTGGAGCGTATCGAATTCTTTTTTCTCGGG